TGCTCCGGGTAGGCATATAACTCCACCAGTTAAAACTCAAACCCTGCCCCCGCCAGCCCCCATCTCAACTCCCCTGTGCACACACACTGAGGCAGACATAGACAGGCACAAAAACAAATGGGTGTTATGGGACATGTAAGGCACTTCAGTGGTCCCTGTCCACAAGGTTCACTGAGAGAATCCTGTTATTGTTTGAAATGCTGTTTTTGACTTTCCTTTTCCCAAATGCCTTCAATTGTTTGTAGGACTGTTCATACTTACAAAGGTCTTTGACTGAGCAATTAAAACTCACAGCTTACAGCGACTGGAAAGGGTAAATAGCCTAGCTATCTTCAGGCTTCAGTTGCTTTTGCCACAGAGAACATGGACAGTTCCCGTCTTTGCAGATGTCTGATTTGCTTCTCCCAAACATCCACGTCCCGGTTGACCCAGGAGCCTGGGAGCCAATCACATCATCGTTGGCAGGCAAAAAGCCTTTGTCATCAATAACTGAGAACTAGTCCAATCAGCTCCTTGTTGCTTGCCAAAACTCCATTGGCCCCTTGGTTCCAGCCCGTCTGCAAACTAGGCTTCTGCTACCGTTTGACCAAGCAGCTGTGTAAACAATGCTTACAATGAGTGACAGCCTACTTGCTTTTAAAACAAAATTGCCAGCAGTCCTTTCACGTGTTTAAAACAGTCCTTTTCCCATTTTAGTGTACAATCAAAATAGAAAGAAGTAAATAAATACCATCTTTACTCTCATTGAACGGTTTAAAAACTCCTTTTTTGTGTAGGCAAAGTCAGAAGTTACACAGCACCAGGTTATAGTCCAACTGGTTCATTTGAAATCACAAGTTTTCAGAATACTGTTGTGTGATTTCAAATGAACCTATTGGACTATAACCTGGTGTTGTGTAACTTCCAACATTGTCCACCTGAGTCCAACAGGAGCACCTCCCCATCACTGCTATATTCTTTATGTAGAGCTTTGATGAGTCACTTATTAGTTTCATTTCCCTTTTCAGTAGAACATAGAACATAGAACAGTACAGCACAGTACAGGCCCTTCGGCCCAAGATGTTGTGCTGACCTATTATCCCACTAAGATCAATCTACCCTGCATACCGTACATTTTACTATCTCCGTGTCCCTATCCAAGAGTCACTCAAAAGTAATCAACCCCTCTTCCAGACAAGGGATGTGACTTACAGCAGCCATTTAGAAATTATTTATCAGGTGCTTTCTGAATCATAGAAGCTGAAGTAGTTTAATTGCAAACCAGGAATCTGTGGCAATGCAAGCAATTTGATTTAGCATCCAGAAGTGCTGTGTTTAAGTGCCCTGTCTAATGAACTCTTTAATGTCAGCTTCAAATTGGGTGTTGTCCTGGGAGTGATTTAAATGCTTCTCTTAACCATTTTAAGATGCTTTCATAGCAGTTACTTCATTTTTTTTAAGCAATCACAAGCCCATATGCTTCTTTCCAGGGGACCTTAATAATGGTGAACTGTGCTCATGTTACTGATTTCCTTTTATATACTTGACCAACAGTCTATATAAAACATGTTGTGTTACTCTTCCTGAAAACAAAAGCCATGACCCTGTGTCATCAGAGCTTATGTAAGGCAAGTCTACTGTGACCACCAAGCTCCACATTGCCAAATATGAACAACAGAAACATTGAATTATCTAGGATTATTGTACTGAGAGCTCATCAGCACCATTTACAGCTGAGAGCTGCTTCAATTTATGATCCTGGAGCAGGAGTTGGCCATTCAGCCCCTCAAGCCTCCTCCGCCATTTAATATGATCAGGGCTGATCTCATCTCAGCCTCAGCTCTGCTTTCCTGCCTGCTGTCCATAACCCATCAACCCATCACTAATTAAAGTTCTGTCCTTGAATTTATTCAATGTCCCAGCATCCACCACACTCTGGGAAAGCGAGTTGCACAGATTCAGAATACTTTGAGAGAAGTAATTTCTCCTCTACTCTATTTTAAATCTATGCCCATCCACCCCCAACCAGCCTAAAACAATGACCTCAAATTATGGCTTTGATATAAAGAAGGACAAAAAGGTACAGTAAAGTCACCATAGTCTGGCCAGACCATTAGGCTGCTCCCTTGCTGAGGAGAGAACAACTGGTAATGGTTTAACCTGAGGGTCACCACATCTCAGGCTGAGAGAGAGATAGAGAAGGAAAGGTTTTGGTGGTAACCTCAGCCAGTGCAGGAATTGAAGCCACATTGTTGGCATCACCCTACATCACAACCTGAGGTAACTGATCCCCTCCAAAGAAAGCATTGGAACAAATCGTCAAAACAATACTGTATAATCGTCACATCAAAATCTATTTGCTGAATCTCAGTCATTGATGTTATTCACAGACAGCATTTATGAACAATGCATCTTGCTGGGAGTACTATCGTTTTCATTTAGAATGATAGTGTTAGACATATGGACCAAGAATGAGTGGGCAGACACCTGAGGTATCAGCCATGTTTGGCAGTGGGACTATCACTTGTCAAGACCTATACTGAATGTAGCCATTGTGGAACACTGTGAATCTCAGATCCTGCACACAAAAGGGGGAATGTAATGCCCTGCAAACCCAGGATTGTTTTAGGAGGGAGTTCAGTGCACGAACATGGAAATGGCAGGAAAGGTGTCTGATGGAGTGCCAGTTGCTTTCTTGATACCCATACACCCCACCAGCCCATTCCCAACTAACTCAGGGGTGTGAAAGGTACAGACTGGGTGGTGGTCCAGGGTGGGTCTGAGTGTCTATCCAACACACCCTCTCCTCTGGGGCTACTATATCTCCTGCAATCTGGCACCACTGTGTCTGGTAGTGTTTCTGGAAGTGAAGTGTTGCTTGCTATCTGATTGGCCTGCTGGTAGCCAGGTAAGTCCCTGAATGATTGGGATCTTGATGTATCGGGCCACAAGTAGAGTTGTTACTGGCTGGTGGAAGGGGCTTCTGTTACACCCATTAAACTCAGCTCAAATTCACAAAGCTCTTTGAGGATCTGAGCTCCAAACCATATATTATTCCCTACTTGCTTGGAATGAGTGCAGTTTCAACCATACTGAAGAAGCTTGACACCATCCAGGTCAGAGCAGACTGCTTGATTGGCACTACATCCACAAGCATCCACTCCCTTCATCACTGATGCTCGGTAGCAGCAGTGTGTACTATCTACAAGATGCACTGCAGAAATTCACCATAGATCCTTATACAGCACCTTCCAAACTCTCAACCATTTCCATATAGAAGGACAAGGGCAGCAGATACATGGGAACACCACCACCTCCAAGTTCCCCTCCAAGCCCCTCACCGTCCTGACTTAGAAATACATTGCCGTTCCTTCACTGTCGCTGGGTGAAAATCCTGGAATTCCCTCCCTAATGGCATTGTGGGTCAACCCACAGCACATGGACTGTAGCGGTTCAAGAAGGCAGCTCACCCCCACCTTCTCAAGGGGCAACTTGAAGAAGCAATAAATGTGGTCACTAATGCTCACATCCCATGATTTGATTTGATTTATTGTAGCACATTTGCTTGAGTACAGCGAAAAGTTTTGTTTTGCGAGCAGTACAGGCAGATCACAGCAAACAAGGACAGAGAGATCATAGGGTGCTTAGACAGAGCGAGGCATACAAGGTTACACTGCACAGGAGAAGCACAAAGCAAGATCAACATTAGCAAGATCAATATTATTTGAAGTTAGAGAGTCCATTCATCAGTCTAATAATGACAGGGAATAAGCTGTTCTTGAGCCTGTTGGTGCGTGTATTCAAGCTTCTGTAACTTCTGCCTGACAGAAAAGTGAAGTTTAAGTAAAAAGCAGTTGTTTCAGAGACTCTAAAGGGCAGAAATGCTATCTGGTGGAAGAAGATGAAAATACTGTATTTTGTTTTCCATAAAAGAGCTAATCAATCAGCTGTTGAAAGATTTGACCAAAATGGTCATTTTAATTCAGGTGCAATTCCCTTCCTGGCTATCCCTTCTCTAAGGATTCTTTAATCCAGAGATGTAAACAGCCATTGACATGCTGCTGGAAGTCAAATTTCGGCATCTGCTGGCTTTTCCAGGATGTTGTGACCAATGTCCCTCAAGAAATTTTGACATTTCAATATAAGCTGCGATTGAGACTTGTGTGCAGTCAGCCCAAGTAAACAGAATGTAGCAACACCAGGCTGAAAACACATTATCGACCCAATGTGTTCACCACTGGTTAGAATGCTGTTTTGTGCTGATGTGCTGTTTCACTGTGGGGAAGTATTAATTTACCATCACTGCTAAACTGCAATCTTTGAAGATTGTTGAGCTTCCATGCTGGAACATTTCAGAATGAGCCCCACTTTGGAACAATTGGAAGCAGGTACCAAGCCACGTTATTGCAAAACTTCACTTCACACCACCAACTTTCATAGTCTCTGAAGCAACTGCATTTTCTTTTTACTCTTGGGATCTGGGTGTTGCTGGCTGGACCAGCATTTATTGCCCATCCCTAGTTGCCCTTGAGAAGGTGGTGAGCTGCTTTCTTGAGCTGCTGCAGTCCCCATTCTGTAAGTTGGCCCACAATGCTGTGAGGAGGGTATTCCAGGATTTTGACCCAGCATTAGTGAAGGAACAGCAATCTACACAATGAAGCTTAGTTATAAATATGTGGTAAGAAAATATTGAAGTTTATAAGTGCAGCAATAAATCACACGCTTCAAGCAACAACCTGTATTCAGTTCTATTAGAAACTTTGTCATGACATCGTTGAGATAAAATGGACAAGATTGAAGAATGTAGTTATTTCTGTTGACTTATCTTCAGGATTCTTGTTCAATTTCCTTTTATTAATGAGGATTGTCAAAGTCTTCTCTGGAAGTATGGCCACTTTCAACTAATTAATTAGATACATATCACAATGTAAATGATTCTGCACACTTTGTGTGAGTACTTCTATTTAGAAATGTACAGCAATTCAAGTCAGTTGCATTTAACAACTTGTTTTGTTTTTCAGGATTACGTGTTCTTTGAGAGAAATGAATGAACAAGGATCTGACTATGGAACTATCTCTTGTAAGTAGATATACACAACATTACTGCTCTGTCCTAATTATGGCATCTGTGTTCCATCTGTGCTACAACAACTGTACTAATGGGTTTCTTTCTGATTATACACAGAGATTGAAACCAATAAAAGATTGTTAAAGGACATTTTAACTCTTCCACCTTCACTGAAGATGCACTAATGATGGCTCTTCTTCATGGTTTAAACCATGCTGAAATGTTGCTAACATGCAAAGTTACTTGATATTGAACCTACTGGACTTCCAAAGGCTGTGACGTCTTTGACTGATGCTGAAAGGAGTAATAATTTTAGATGCAGTGCAAATGCTTGAGCTGCTACATCTTTTCTGCTTAAAGGACAACCAATTTTTCTGTTTGTGGACTGAAATGGACTTAAGTTAGTACAAGTGAGTAACCTGCATAATAATGGATTGCTGTCTCCCTTGACATGTTGTTTCCACTGGGCACACCCCACAGGCAATGCTCCTCAGCAGGAGTGGGAAAGCTAAAAACATATCCTGGAATTCTATACCTGGTGGAAAGTTTATCTGTTTGAGAAAAAAGATGTGACGCACACAACAGAACTCTCGCTTTCCAGCTATTCCAAACAAAAAAGAAAGAAGTATTGCAGAATGTCATTCAGGGAACCAATTTGCGATAGAATATAACATATATTTTTGAATAGCATAATTCATTTAGAATACAGTATATTTTCAAACAATAATATATATCTGCACAGTCTCTGATCAAATGTGCAAATGTTGTTTATGAACAGAAGTCTTTTGTTTACTCCAACGGTTAATAGAACTTGTGAGAAATTGACTTTCTGTACTGAATATTCCTCTATTACATCAAGATGTCATTAAATCAATAAATACAGTAGTTGTGTTTTTATTATGGCAATTATGTTTTCAGAGAAATTCCGTGGCCCTTGAACAAGTTCTTCATTTAGTGGCAATGCACTTGCATAAACAGTGGCTTTTGTATTTGTGGAGTTACTGATGTGGTTAATGCACATCTCCATGTGTAAACAATTTCCATTTAATTAGTGTTCTCCACACATTCTGCCTAAGCAGAAACTGCACATACTAGCCAGTTTAAATTCCCAAAGTTGATGGAAGCACCGTAGTTCACACTACCTTGAAAACAAGCCCATGTTTGAATAAATGTGGCATCAATGAGCCCCAGCAAAACTGCAGTCATTGGGAATCAGGGATGCAAACTCTCCACTGGTTGGAGTAACAGCTGGGACAGAGGAAAGTGGTTGTAGTTATTCGTCATTAATCTTCTCAGCTTCAGGACATCTTTGCAGGAGTCCCTGAAAGTAGTGTGCTCATCCAAGCAAACACGGAGAGCATTGGAGAAACTCAGCAGGTCTGGCAGAATCTGTGGAGGGAGAAATGTTTTGAGTCTGGTATGACTTCTTTAGAAGTGCATCTGCCATATTTTGTTTTTGTCTTAATGCACTTGCTCAACCATTTTCGGCTGCTTCATCAATGACCTTCCCTCTCTCATAAGCTCAGAGTGAGGATGTTTACCGATGATTGCACAATGTTCAGCACCATTCATTGGTTGGACCAGCAGTTATTGCCCATCCCTAATTGCCCAGATGGCTTTTTAAGAGTCAACCACATTGCTGTGGGTCTGGAGTTACATGTAGGCCATACCAGGTAAGGAGGGCAGATTTTCTTCCCTAAAGGATATTAATGAACCAGGTGAGTTTTTCCAACAATTGATAATGGATTCATGGTCATCATTAGACTCTTAATTCCAGATGTTTGTTGAATTCAAATTCCACCATCTGCCGCAGCAGGATTTGAACCTAGGACATAACCTAGGTCTCTGGGTTAATAGTTTAGCGTTAATACCACTAGGACATCGCCACCATTTATGAATCTTCAGATACTGGAACAGCCCATGTTCAAATGCAACAAGATCTGGACCATATCCGGACTTAGGCTAAAAATAACGAGTAACATTTCTACCATACAACTGCCAAACAATGACCATCACCCCAACAAGAGATTCTAAACATTCCCTTGGTCATTCAAAAGCTTTACCTTCACTGAATCCCCCACCATCAACGTTCTGGAGAGTACCATTCACTAAAATCTCACTGGACTAGCTATATAAATACTATGGCTACAACAGCAGGTCAGAGGCTAGAAATACTGTAGCGAGTAATTCATCTCCTGACTCCCCAAAGCCTGTCCAGTATCTACAAGGCACAAGTCAGGAATGTAAGGTGGACAAACAGGGGGCTGGAAGAACACAGCAAGCCAGGCAGCATCTGGAGGAAAGGAGAAGTCAACGTTTCAGGTATTCAGTTTAGGGCTCCGAATGGAGGCGAGGGAGGTGGGGTGTGGGCAGGTGTTACATCTTTTATAGTTACAAGGAAAGGTACCGGGTGGGTTGGATTGGTTGGTGGGGTGTGTGGTGCAAACTAAGGAGTGGCGAAGGGAATGGTCCTTGGAGAAGACAGAGAGGGGTGGGGAGTGGAAGATGTTCTGGGCGGTGGGGTCTAATTGGAGTTGGCATAAGTGTTTGAGGATGATGCATTGGATGTGGAGGCTGGTGGGGTGGAAAGTGAGGACAATGGGGACCCTTATTTTTATTGCGTTTGGAGGGAGGGGATGGTTAAGAGCTGTGGAGCAGGGAATGGAGGAGGCGCGGTGGAGGGCTGTCTGGATGACGGGGGCGGGGAAAGAGCATTTTTTGAAAAAGACAGACTTGGGAGTGGAATATCTCCTCATCAGAGCAGATGCAACGAAGGTGGAGGAATTGAGAAAACAGGATGGAGTTTTTGCAGGATACGGAGTGAGAGGAGGTGTAGTCTAGGTAGCTATAGGAGTCTGTGGGTTTATAGTAAATGTCGGTCCATAAACTGTTGCCAGAAATGGAAATGGAGAGATCAAGAAAGGGGACGGAGGTGTCTGGGATAAACCAAGTGTGTTTGAGGGCAGGTGGAAGTTGTTAACGAAGTCGATGAACTGCTCCAGTTCAGCCAGGGTTCAGGATGCAGCACTGATGCAGTCATTGATGTAACAGTGGAAGATTCGGAGAACAGTAACGGTGTATTTCCTGAAGAGGGACTGTTCAACTGAACCAACAAACAGGCAGGCATAGCTGGGGCCCATGCAAGTGCCCATGGCAACTCCTTGGATTTGGAGAAAGTGGGAAGAATTGAAAGAAAAGTTATTCAGGGTGAGGACTAGTTCAACAAGGTGGAGAAGAGAATTGGTGGGGGCGGAATGGATGGGTCTGTTGGAGAGGGAAAAAATTGAGGGCCTATAGGTCGTCCTTGTATGGTATGGATGTGTATCGGAATTGCACGTCCATAGTAAAGATGAAGCGCTGGGGTTCTGAAGAAGGGTAATACTCAAAACGTTGACTTCTCCTTTCCTCCAGATGCTGCCTGGCCTGCTGTGTTCTTCCAGCCTCCTGTTTGTCTACCTTGGATTCCAGCATCTGCAGTTTCTTTGTCTCTCAACAAGTCAGGAGTAGGTTGGAATACTCCCCACTTGCTTTGATGAGTGCAGCTCCAACAACACTCAAGAAGCTTGACATCCAGGACAAAACATCCTGCTTGATTGGCACTACATCCACAAACATTCACTCCCTCCACCACTGACGCTCAGTAGCAGCTGTGTGTACTATCTACAAGATGCACTGCAGAAATTCACCAAAGATCCTTAGATGGTACTTTCTGAAAGATAAGGAAGCAACTATATGGGAACATTGCAAGTTCCCCTTCAAGCCATTCACCATCCTGAACTTGGAAATATATTACCAGTCCTTCAATGTGACTAGGTCAAAATCTTGGAACCTCCTCCCTGATGGCATTATGGGTCTCCTACAGCACATTACAGTGGTTTCAGAAGATAGCTCGGCACTACCTTCTCAAGGATAATTTGTGATGGGCAATAAATGCTAGCTAGGAAGTCCTTGCCAGCTAAATTTGCAGAGGTGACTCCTAGTGGCATTATCACTGGACTTTTAGTCCTGAGACCCAGGTAATGTTCAGGGGGCTCGAGTTCAAATCCTGCCATGGCTGATGGTGGAATTTTAATTCCATAATATAGTGATTGGAACCAGCTAGATCTTGTGGATCAGGAAATCCCTGGCTGATGACTATAACCAGGAGATTTAGCATCTCCTCAGTTCAGGGGACTGACTCCAAGCTGGCTGGACCACAGCCAGTGTACTGTGCACAAGTACATAAAGGGTGACTTGGTGATGGGATACTGGCCTCTGTGCAGTTATTACACATAAAAATTCTGGAATTAAGAGTCTAATGCTGACCATGAAACCATTGTCAATTGTCAGGAAAAACCCATCTGGTTCACTGATGTCCTTTAGGGAAGGAAACTCCATCTTTACCTGGTCTGGCCTACATGTGACTCCAGACCCACAGCGATGTGAATGATTCTTAACAGGCATGTAGGCAATAAATGCTGGGTTTAGCCAGTAACGCCTCATCCCTTGAACGAAATAAACAAAAAACTAGGCCCGGTTTTGCAAGTAGAACACAACAATTTCTTACATGCTGTTGGGATAACAATTGCTCAATCTTAGTTTTGACTGCTTCAAGATTCTTCTGCTTGCATGAGGTTTCAAACCCTGTGTTTATGTTGGATATGAACTCCTGAAGGAGCCTGCCATCACGCACAATGCCAAATGAAAACCCAGAATTTGTGGAAATGTACGTCCACTTTTCTCTTTCGGAGTTTGACTGGCACTAGAAATTCTGTGACCTGGCTTAAAGTAGCATTTAAGATCTTTATCTGGGACCAAATAATGTCCAGTGATCAGCTTGTTTAAAAGTGTACATTGTTTGGCAGTCAGTAGGTGTCAGGACTCCCTGAGCTACTGTGTTCCCTGTGTGTTGACAACATTTGAACTGAGTCTGTTTTACCTTTGGTGTGAGAGCTTGGAATTTAAAATGATGACAACTTCCACTACTGTAGCAAAGTGTTTTAGAGGCACACAGTCACTCTTACCCTGTATCTTAATTGTTTAAATCTAGGCTATTTTCTCCAGCCCTGCAGTTTAGCTTTTAAATTTTAGCTTACTTGCAAGTTTCTCCAAACTTCTCAGTTTTACTTTTTTAACTTTGGAATTCAAATTACTTAAATTGTTTATTTCTAAATCCCAAACCAGACTGAAAATAAATTCCTCCTCGTCTCTTGAGAACTGTTGCAGGAACCAGAATTCTTGAGTTCGTAAACTTTGCAGTACAGTTTTAACTCCAATCCAATGCATCGCCTCTCTGCTCCTTTGATGCTGCTTGGCCTGCTGTGTTCATCCAGCCCTGCACCTTGTTGTCACAGAATTCATTATAATTACTCGAAAAAATCTCTTTGTTACACAGACAGGCAGCAAGGAAACAAAAACAGAGAGAGATCAATTATGATACACTGAGCAGAAAACTTTTAAAACCAATTACAAACTATACCACAACGAGTTAAATCATGTTTAAGTAAACACTGCCCTGTAATACAAAATATCTGCAAAGGCTGCTTGTCAAACCTGACTGACTCTCTCACTCAAAACAGACTGAAAGAAACCATTTCAATCCAGTGATACTGACCTGGAGCTGTCTTTCTAAGTCTCTGGTGAGTATTCAAAAACTCGACTAGACCCTCTCGTCTGTAAATTTCCTTTAAAACTATTGGAGATTGTGTCACTGATAATGAGTCATTTGCCCTGGTCTCTTTAATTATAATCACATAGTTAAATTACATTCTATGGTATTATTCTGCATAATTGTATCCAATCTGATCTTGGCTGTTTAATATCACGTGACTGTGCTTGGCCACAACCAATAAGGAAATGCGCCATGGGATTTTGAACAAAGCAAAACCCTTTGTATCTAGAGG